ATGGATGGATGGATGAGTGGATAAGTATATAAAATTTTCCTCTGTGGGTCCATCATAATTCATAGGATTTTTTTCAAATATCGGAGTAGTCTTTATCACCTCCTTTGGGGAAATACTGCCATTATATTTTCCTTGTTAAAACTTACAAAATATCTGTAGCTGGCCAGTTTCTAATCATAATAAAAGCTCCAAACTATCACAATTTGGGTAGCCTAAGTCCTTATCTGGTACTCAAAGAAAAAAGTCTAGTCATGATTGTACTGGGAAAAAGGAGTGAAAAATCAGCATCTTCTAAATGTTACCCTGTATGTTAGTTGGCCCTGTGTGTGCCTAACAGAATGAAAAAGGATTAAAATTAGAGTTAGGGTTGGGGGTTGATGCTCCGAAGTTTTAAAAGAGAGAGAGCTGGACTTCAGATTTGAAAGATTTAAGGAAGATCTATGAGATACCTGCAAATGAAATGCAGTTCTATTATTATTATTATATTTATTTAATTAATATATATTATATATAATAATATATATTATAATAATATATTTATTAATATATATTTACATTATTATATTATTAAAGCGAGGCATGACTTATTTTACAGCCAAAGAAAAGGTAGGGCATTAAATGCGCCATTTGTTTACATGGATGAAGATTCACCCAGGGCCCATGGTAATAGAAGTCCTTTGCACAACAATTACATGCCAGTCTCACTCTCCCTTAGCAGGAGAGGTGTGTTTCAATTAGGAGGTTCTTACCAAGGCTTCCTCCTACTTTCTGGGCAGTTCTTTGGAAATGCGGGGGCTGCGGATAGGTAAGAAGGAAAACTCATTACCTGCCCTCAGAGAGTTGAGAAAGTGTGGGTTTGTATTACTCACGGCTCTGCCTGCAGGCTCCTGTCCTCAGCCACATAGTTTGAAGGAATATAGCCCTGTAGCGGTTGGCCAGAGGCATCTTCCCTTCTCTCCAAGTGCCTGGCCAACCACCAGCCCTCGAGGGAAGTGTCCAGGACTTGGAGCTTGTCGCCCGCGCGGAAGCTCAGGTCCTCTGCGGTCCGCGCCTGGTAATCAAACAGAGCCACGAAGTAGTGGCCGTGGCTTCTCCTGGGCTCCTGACTCTGCGACTGGGGAGGATCGGGGGAGCAGCAGGCTACTGGGTTCTCAATCACCACCGCCGGCTTGTCGGCCTCCTGGAACAAGCACGGGAGGCAGGGCCCCAAGTTCGCCCAGAACCTCAGACAAATGTTGCCCATGGTGCTGTGGTAGGGAAGAGGGGAGAGGGGCTTCTCCCTCTCCCCTCAGTCTCTGCAGATCCACTTTCTCTTCTTCCACCAGGCAGCTTGGAAGTCAGCACCAACTCCCCCGGCTTCCGAGAGGGTGCAAAGCCCCGTTTCACAACAGGCGGCCGACCTGCCTGCGGTGATCCCCGCTTGGGGACACTCACCTGCTTGCTTTCTGTGGCCCGAGCTGCTGCTCCAATGCCAAACTGAGTGGGAGCTGGGAGGCTGCTCGGGGGAAGATGCCTTTTCTTCTTGTCTGCTTAGGAATCCCACAGCAAAAATAAAGTTAAGAGGGCTTTATTTAGACAAACGTCTGCGAACAGAAGACTCGTCTTGCTTTATGTGCCGAGGTAAAGTTAATAAGAGAAAGAGGTGAACTGCAGGTAAGATTACATCTTGCCTCTGCCGGAAGCTCCCTCCCTGCTTCAGGTCCGTCTCTGTGGTCTGGCCGGTCCTGACCCCCACTGCTCTTTCCTTTTTGCTAATGATTAACCAACCAGCTGAGCCTATTGCCTTTAACATCCTGAGCTATGAGCAGACTAATAATTTCTCCTTACTTCCTGGTTTCCTTTTCTCTGTGATTTAAAAGAGATTCCTGTCCTCTCTACCTCTCCCTTCCCACACCCAAGAGAGACCAGCGCCCTCACCAGGAAGCCAAACTCTTAAAGCGCTGCCAAAGTCCATACTACCAGATAAACAGGCTAGCCCAGGGAGCTTTTTGTCTTGCTATGTTCCCAACACAGATTTTTTTCCCTGTTCATGAAGATGAGTAGGATTATTCTGCCACACTAGGGGAAATTAAAAGGATAATTAAAGTGTCTAGATATTTGTTACTGGACAAATGGCAGCTGGGAAAGAACTATTGAGTTCCTACCTTTTTTCATCACTGTGAATCAATTTTTAATAGCTTCAAAATATATTTACAGTCTGGAAAAATACGACAGCAGCTGACTAAAATGCTGAGAACCTGAAACACTGCTCTTTCCCACAGAGACATTTAATTTCCCATCTCTCACGTGCTATTTCTGAAATACATACACACAGAGAGAGATTAGGGGACCAGTAGAGAGAAGGAGTAGAAAGGCTGCACGTGAGCAGCTGTGGGTCTACAGGAATTCTGACTAACTTCATTGGTAGTACCTCAGGAGCTAATGACGCTGAGATCAGACAGCCATCCTGATGGGCAGTGGCGTTTGCTTTACTTCCTCTTGTTTGCGACAGCTGACTCACAAATGTGTGCTCTGGATCCCAAGAACAATCAGGCAGAGAATGTGGACAGATCAACACACCGCCATTTTCACTAGTAGAGACCACTCTCAACTCGTTTACGATGTGTCACTTGTTTTCACATAAGACATTTATTAAAATTCTCCACTCCAAAAAAAACAATCTCTATATATGTTACTGGAGGCTTGACCTGGCTAACCAAGCCTCAGCACAACCTCAAAATTCCTGTTCTTTGACAAACAGAAAGGCATTTTTAGTAATCAGAATAATCAAACTCAAGGAAAACGGTGGGGCAGGGCAGAGGGGGAACCCAGGGAACCATGCCCATGGCTTCAGCCCCATCTGCTCTTACCTGGTACTAAAATCATTCATGTGGACAGATGACCTGGCTAGAACAAGACCTCATGTCAAATTCCCAGGTTTTTCCGGTTGTCTTCAGAGTTAGAGTAGAAACACCAATTTAGCAGTAAAAGAAAAGCCAAAAGCTGAGCCAGTTTTGGGTTGTCTGTTTGTTTGTGACATGGGACCAAAAATATAATTCTACATATAAGAGAAAATGGCAATTATATAATATTGAGAAGCCATAAGTATATTTTGTTTCAGACACAATATTAATTGTAAAAGTGTGGGATTCTATTAATGCCCCCATATAGAGGCATAGAATGCTAGTCTTTCCAGAGACATCTGTAGGATCTAAAAATGAAATGAGATTTGGAAGCAGCTAGAGAAGGGTATTCAAACCCGATTTGTAAGTGGAGTTTGAGACTTCAAAAATTCGAAGTTTTTAAATTCAGATATACCTCCATTATGGTCATGACAAGGCATTCTAGAAAAAGACAAATTGGCAGATGTGCACAGCACAGTCACTGAGCTAATAAATGAAACTGAAAAAAGCTGGTGACCATCCGAAGGTGTCAGGCGAGCAATGGTCTGAGAAAGCTGAGCCATGGGATGGGAAGAGAAAAGGCTTCTTTGTGTCAACAGTACCAGAACTCTGCAGTCACCCAAGCTTGAAGACTTAAAGTCATCTTCTACTCTCCCCCTGGTTTCTCTGAGCTAATCAATCATGACATTCTGCTCAGTCTTCCTTTTCATTTATTCCACAAACATTTTTTATTCCTTCTGAATGACAGCTGGGTACTGGACAAAAATAAATAAATAAATAAAAATAGAATATTCTTCCCTAGATTATTCCAGAGGCGTTCTAAGCAGTCTCCCTTCCTCCAGCTTATCCTCTACCTGACTCACCTTGCATACCACTCCCAGGGCAATATTTACAAGAGTAATAATGATATGAGTGCTGGTAAAGAGTAGCCATCAGGATTGGAGGGCTTTCTATGTACCAGGCCCTGTGCTAAGAATGTTACAAATGGTATTCATTTAATTCTCAGAAAATAAAAACAATAATACCTATGAGGAAGGTAGGGTTTTATGTTTGTTTTCAATTTAAAGAAGAAACCAAAGAGGGCACGTTCTGAGCGGAGCACTGGGTGTTATGCACAAACAATGAATCACGGAACACTACATCCAAAATTAATGATGTAATGTATGGTGATTAACATAACAATAAAAAATTAAAAAAAAAAAAGAAGAAGAAGAAACCGAGCACCTGGATGGCTCAGTCCTTAAGCGTCTGCCTTTGGCTCAGGTCATGATCCTAGGGTTCTGGTTTCGAGCCCCGCATCAGGCTCCCTGCTCCACAGGAAGCCTGCTTCTCCCTCTCCCACTCCCCCTGCTTGTGTTCCTGCTCTTGCTGTCTCTCTCTCTGTCAAATAAATAAATAAAATCTTTAAAAAAGAAGAAGAAACCAAGGCTCCAGGAGATTAAGTAAATTGTCCAAGCTTACACAGCCACCAACTGGCTGAACCATGAGTAACACCCTGGTCTCAATCTGTCTCCAAAGCCTGAGTTTTGATGACTCTAAAAAGAAGCTAATGTCATTCTTCTGTGTAAAATCCTTCAGGATCATCCAGTGTGTTTGGAATAAAACCTAAATTCTTTATCAGGACACATAAGGCCCTGCTAACCTCTCTAACCTCATGGCCCTTCCCTGCAGCGCACACACACCCTGAGATGCAGGTCCCCCAGGCAACTAGGGCTCCTGAAGCCCTCCCGCCCCCGCCCCACCCTACCGCCTGACTTCCTTGTGATTTTTCCAGGCTGAGTTCAATTGATACTTTCTCTGCCATAACAAGTAGAGGCCCCTACTCTGTGTACCCCTAAAACCTGACACACACTTCTACTTGGTCACCTGCTGAATGCCACTTGGTTCTCTTACTTGTTTGCTTTCCCCACAAGAATTAGATTTCCTTCTCTGAATCTTCAGTGCCTTGTACAACAGCCAGTATGTAAGCAGTAAATACTCCATAAGTATTGAGGAAGGAAGGAAGGAGGGGAGGGAGGGAAGGAGGGAGGGAGGGAGGGAAGGAAGGAAGGAAGGAAGGAAGGAAGGAAGGAAGGAAGGGAGGGAGGGAGGGAGGGAGGGAGGAAGGAAGGAAGGAAGGAAGGGAGGGAGGAAGGGAGGGAGGAAGGGAGGGAGGAAGGAAGGGAGGGAGGAAGGGAGGGAGGAAGGGAAGGAGGAAGGGAGGGAGGAAGGAAGGGAGGGAGGAAGGGAGGGAGGAAGGGAGGAAGGAAGGAAGGGAGGGAGGAAGGGAGGGAGGAAGGAAGGAAGGGAGGGAGGGAGGAAGGGAGGGAGGAAGGAAGGGAGGGAGGAAGGGAGGGAGGAAGGAAGGAAGGGAGGGAGG